CAGGCACCAGTGGAACCACTCCAGCTTTCCCACCAGCGGCACTTTCCTGGGGGGTGACTTTCCATTTGCTGCATTAGCAGCCCTGAAGTGATGCTGGAGTGGATCCAGTGGGAATGCCGCAGCCTGCCAGGGCTGAAGCGACTTCACATTCCAATTGAGTAACCCCATTGAAACGGGTGAGTTACACAGGAGGAAAGGCAGGAGCTGCCCAACGTTCCCTATGGAACTGGGCAAAACTGAAGTCAAACCCAGCAGGATTATGGCTGAATTTCCCACCAGGTCAACAAAGAGCAGAACGGGATTTGGAGTCTCTGCAGTATGTGAAAACCCACAAGGAAATACAGGGATTGCTCCCTAATATCCCAGAAAGGGTTTTGGAAGAACCAGCCCATCCCGGCTCTGCTCCTGCCGGCGCTGACACCGAGGGAACCTTGCAGAGGCAGGATGGGACCCCACCATCAGTATACGAGTTCCTATAAAGTGCATCCACTCTCCAGTCCAGGGCATCACCACTGTCCAATGTCAAGCACTGACTCTTCTTCAAGTATCAAACCAAAAAACATGAGGTAAAACGAAAAGGAAAGAGCAAACAGGCCTCCTGGTCACGCTGCAGGACCAGGAGCTTGGTTCCACCAAGCACAACCCCCTCGGACAGCACAGGAGATGCTGTGCCCGGCGCTCCCAACCTGCTCCGGGGAGCGCTCTGATTCACAGTGCTATGTGCAGAATGAGAACTGTCTTCGCTTCCTGTCCTAACCTATTGCATGGCTTTGCTGAAGGAATGCTGGTAAGTGGCTGCCTCCTCCTGCCCCACGAGCGTGTCTCCAAGGCTTTTTGGATCCTTGTGGATTCTCCCGAACTCAGGGGCATCCCTGGGTTTGCTAATGGGTGAACCACAGCACGGAGGAGAGGAGCAAAAGCTGACCCCAGAGGTAAGCACCTTTCGAGAGTGGTTTTCTTCTGCTTTTCTAGTGATAACGGCGTTGACACTGGGTCATTTGTAACGTGGAAACAGGGGGGTTGGTGCAGCAAAAAGCAGTCGCTGACGCTTCGGAGCAAAGTGGTGGCCTGGCTCTGTGAACCAGGACCAGGGTTTGACCAGCTGGGGTGTGGGGCACATCCTGCCCCTCTCCGCTGACGCTGGGGCTCAGGGATGCTGTGGACCCCACAAAGATTGCACCTCCAGCACCTGAAGATGATGGTTTGAGGCTCCCTCATGGGAGCATCTGGCACCGAAGAACCACCAAACCTGGCGCCCTGCACGATGCCGGGTGCCAAACGTGGTGCGAGGCTTCCTCTGGGTCAAACAGAGCCCCAAAGGGAAAAGGGAAGAGGAAAGAAAGGGAAGAACCCAACCGAGTGTCCTCTGTCTGCTCCCTGGTTCAAGGCTGCTTCACCCCGCGCCTTCCACCAGCACTCGCTGCCTCTGAGCTCTGCCCATCACGTTACAGAGGGGACTTCATCCAACCTTCCTGCCCTTCTCCTTCCCACCCGCCCCTCACCGGGACCTTCCAACACCTTCAGTGCTGGAGATGTTCAAACAGCAAGAAAAGGGACAGAAATTGGCCCGTTTCTTCTTTTCCCCTCGGCAATTCCCTGCTCCCAACCTGGAGGTCGGGATAAGGCAAAACCCAACAGCCTGAGCCGTGATTTCCTCGGTGACAAGCCAAATCTTTTTAGTTTTAGTGACAAAAAGCAACACAAAAACCCCAAATGCCTCTTTTTGCTTAAAAAAAATACCAATTATTCCATCTCTTTTTGGTTGTTTTTTTCTTTGCTTCAGGAAAAACAGGGCCCCAAAAAAAGATGGGAATTTGCTGGGAAGTTACAAATGATTCCTTGATCTTGCTTAGGAGTTTCGTTTACATTCTGCTCTGTCTGGGATCACTTGGCTCTACTATAGATTAAACAATATGGATAGCATCTACTATTTGAACTAGTTAATCATCTTTTCATCTTTACTCTAGGATTATAGGAAATAAATTTGAATGTTTATTATTATTATTATTATTATTTTTAT